CAATTTGTGACTATCAGATAAACTCTCTGTTACTCTCTCCGGCCCCACCATTCAAGTAGTATTTTAAATTAGGAAATTTGTAAAGTTGGGAGAGAATCGAACCCAAACCCAAATACTAAATATAATTTTGGTCTAGCACTTAGAGGCTTCCCTTCCACCAACTCTGCAGGCGTCCTTGGGGTGCAGGCGTCCTTGGGGTGTAGCTAATGCTTTCTTGATTGACCATCTCACATCCATGAAATGTGTGAAATCTCGCTAAAACTTGCATTAGATCTTCTTCAGAGGGAAATCGCACTTGAAAAAAAACCATCCTTCATAGAAACCACCACCGCATCTTTATGCCACCTCTTTTGAGCATAAGTTTTAAAATAAGGGAAGTAGGGTTTGCTACCAAGAACATAGCAGACAACAGAATTCTTCCAATACTTAAATTCTTCAACGATGTCTTCATCTTCAATAACAACAAACTCCTTACCGCGACTCTCACTGTAATAAGTTAGCGGTCTAAATCCAGTAGAACTTGAGTTTAAAAGTAGCGAACTCCATAATGGTCGACTCATTGTGGGATTGACTATAGGTGAGACACTACCCGCCGGCGAGGAGGGTTGCCCCTCCTCCATCTTGTAATCTTCTTCCCCGAAAACCCTAGGAAACCTTAGAAAAAAATAATCGTCATAGTTGAAAGAAAAAGAAAATATTAATAAAACCCTAATCTTGAATAGGATAAATTGCAGTGGCATTCTTGAAGTTTTGGTTAATGTTACTCAGTGAAGGGTCAATTTTTTTTTTTTTTACACATTGACACCTCTTGAAATTTTAAGATTATGCATTGACACCCCCTTTAGACCTTTGAGACCATATGAAATTATATTTTAACCATCTGACTTGTCAACAACTCTATTTGAATAATGAAATTACAAAATTATTCTCCTAACTAATTTTAATGAATCAAATTAACCTCTTAATTTCTCATATACATATAGACTGAGAAACCACCACCACCGCAACATAACAATAAAAAATAAAATTAATTATTTTTTAAAAATAGTCAGATAATTGTACACAACCATAATTACTCCCAGCATACCCAAACACCACCATAACTACCATAACCACATCCAAACACCACCATAACCACCACCACCATTAGGCACCACCACAATAGAAAGAAAAAAATAAAAATAAAAACAGAGATGGTTATTTTCATCTCACCATTCTCACCAATTCTCTTCCTCCTATCACACCCACTTTCATTCCCTTACTCATCTCAATCACAAATCCAACACGACCACACCGAAACATTTTTTCCCCAAACTATGCGAATTAATTTGTCCTAGCCGGCATCTCTTCCACTGCTAGTTACATTTCCCTCCATCGGTTACCGGTAGCTCCTCCACTGGCGAGAAGAATGATGAGGGGTAAAATTTACCACACAAAAAAAAAATAACATTGTAAGAATTAAAAGAAGGGAATGATAGAGATCGGGAAGAGAGAAAGGGAGCGTCGGTTGCTAGGTACTAAAATGAACCAAAAAAAGAGTTAGAGAGATTATAGTACAGAAAGGGGCATAATAATGAGGGTAGTTTTGTCAATTAACAAGGCTGATATTTTGTAAATTAATTGAATTAAATAATCAGAGGTAAATATGACATTTGAAACCACAAAGAATGTCATTGTTAAAAAAATCGTTGACGCGAATCTGAGTGACATTGACCGAAACCTCAAGGGGTGTTAAGAACTTGCTCATTTTATATTTGGACAATACTTATTAGGTCATTATCGGTGAGATGTTGACGTGGACTAATAATAAATGGACATATCCTCTTTAATTATCAAATTAGAGACGGTGGAATATATATTTGGATAACTCCTGAACAATGAAATTACGGAGCCTTGTGCCAAAATGATGGAGTTAATGCCACTTCTTTCCAAAATGATGGAATTTTTATCAAAGTGTGACCAAGAAATGGAAATTTTTTTGTACATTATCTTTTTATTCCCAAATTCCCCATGATTTTATGAAGGTATATATATATATATATACATACTAGCAACGCCGTCGTCACTCCACTGCCACAACCGCCGCCACAACTCTCTCTCTCCTCTTCTTCTATCTCTCCGCCATTGCTCTCTCCCCTGTTTCCCCTCTCTGTGAATCTGTGATTCTTTTTTCTCTCCACCATGGTCTCCCGCCAACACTGCTAAAGATGATAAATATATAAAACATATGCACACACATATATAAGTAGCACACACATGCGTATATATTTTGTATAAGTACTAAAATTTGATTGATGTTGCCTTACTCAAAGACCCAATTATATCTGCATATATATAATATATGCAAACATTCAATTAATTGCAACATATTATTTCAATAACTTATGTATATATGTATATATATATATCTTTTGTAGCAGTAATTGAATCCACATATCCACATTCATCGGAGCGGCGGTTGTCGGCGCACTTACGGATCTGCTTCTCCCATTGGGATCCTATCCAAATTACACCATCAACCAGAATTGACGAAGCTCTAAACTGGCAGCGCCAGTGACGAAAAAGGAACTTTCAACTCTGTTAATCGTGCCAATGTTTTCCCAAATTAGAGATGAAGGGAGAAAATGGACCAAAGGATAGGTGAAGAGAGAGGAAGGACAATTTGATAATCAAGACATAACTTTGACTCTGTCATTTTGGCATAAGACATTCACAATTTCATTTTTTAAGAATTATCCCATATATCTTTAGTTACTGTATTAAAAATTGTGGATACATACTTACCTGTATTATTCTTCAATTCTTTATAATTTTATAATTAAAGATAATGTGTTCTTTTGTTATTGGTCTACATCAGTTATAAAGATAGAGAACATCTCACGAGGACCTTTGCATTGAAGTAAAAGTGGGCGGTGAGGTAAAGTTTCACCATTGTGGGAAATTTTGAAGTGTGATATAATAACTTTATTGTTAAATATGTTTTTTAAAATTAATTTCATTATATACATATCAATAAATAATTAACTTTTAAACTATCAAATGAAAGTAAGGTGAACTTATCTACACACTAATAAATGAATGCATTTATGTATGTCCACACTTGACTTTTAGAATCATCAATAAATTTAGTAAAAATGGTGAATCGTTTAATATCATTCATACTGAATTGTACGAAGCGTATTTATTAATATGATCTATACATAAATTTTATCCAAGTTTATCAACTTGGAAGATATATCTTATTAATATACAAATTTATAGAGAATTGAAAGTGCAAATTTGCCTTTGCATGACTTTCCACTCTCTACCATCTTCTTAAAGTGACACGTGTCACCCGATTGAAATGGGCTGGCCTCACGTCAGTCGGATCGGCCCATGTTGAAGTCTACAAGCTCGAAGTCAAGCCGGATACAACCCGGCCCATGTAAGAAAGAGGCCCTTAACCCTAATTACTAAGTAATCAAACCGGCCACACCCACACCATTTCCTATTAAGAAAGTCTGACTAGGTTAATCATATTAATTAGCGCTTAAATATTCAATTTTTATTTTAAAGAACAATTATATTCTATCTGTTTCTTTTAATTTTTTATCCCTTTGAGTTTTAGTACATTAAAGGTAAAATTATAAAAGCCTCTTCAACTACAGTCTTTGACTTTAAAACTATATCTAAATAAAAAGAGAATATATAATGTGCGCCATCATCACAATCATTCATTCGTGTCCGCGCGTGTTGTACACACGTCCATACATGTACAATATGGACGACCTGTGATGTGCCCGGTAGCACACCGTATACCTACTCCAAATAACATTGTTCTTATAAACGATTTCACATGAAGATCTCAATTGACGGATCAAAATGCAACGGTAACTTTTTCAGCAAACTATTTTACACACTCCACTTAATAGACTCGACCTCAATCTCAATATAGACTTTTGCCAAACACCAAAATATAAAAATAAAAAATATTTTATCTATTAAAACACTTTTTTTTTTTTGAGAAAGATATTTTTTATGTCCAAAGTCCAAACAAAGAAAACTTGTTGAATTATCCAAAACTTCAAAAAAAAAAAAAAAAAAATGCAAGGTGAACCTTGTTATGAGAACAGAAACGAGTGAAGTAGTCTAGTCTGCTGACTTTTAACTCAGCTCAGAATTTTCTAACACCAAACATTGTCCTACTACTATTATATATGTGGGCCCGGCTGAATTAGACAATGTTGATCAGAAAGTTCTCCACCGTTACACTTCGGTTGCTGAACCGTCCTTGGTTTGACTCCACGTTGGAGTCTCGTTTAGTTGGGAAAACTAATAAACTCCTCATCACCAGTGGTTGCACTCAACTTTCATGACACCTTCTCTCAAGTAGAGCACTTGGCAAGTAAAGCTAAAACCCTAATAAATAGATACGGGAAGTTTCTTGTAGAAAATATCTTTTATATGCGGGCTGGACAAATTTCATGAGTTACAAAGTTGCGTCCAAATTGAAAAATAAAGTTATCCTTTGTATGGAATTGCAAACAAGAAACTGATACACACACACACACACACACATATATATATATATATATATATATCATGCAAGCCCAATGACAATACTTCATTTTGATATATATATTTTATTTTTTTTGTAAACAATCGTGAATCCTTTTGTTTTTTGTGTTTGTTTTTGGGACGGGAGTATTTTTAAACTCGTTATGACTATTGCATGAAAATTTTATGAGATCAGATGTGATCTTATCACCGCTTACGTGAGTAAAGGTCAAGTGTTGAAAAGTCTTTGTTGGTTGACTCCACTTAGCCGTCATTAAAGCAATTGAAATGTGAAATGTGAAATGCGAAATGCGAAATGTTGAATTATCATTGTTGCATGACCCCACCAAGATAGTCCCGTCAACCAAAAAAAAAAAATTGACTTATGTTACTATTTATCAAAGACTTTGTGTTACATAACACAAATTACATGCATAAAATTATTAGTATAAATATACATAAGTAGTTACAAACTTTACAACTCACAACTCACTTGTCCAGGGGAAAAAAAAAAAACCAAACAACCATGGCTCACCTATATCTCCTCCTCTGTTCTCTGCTAACCCTAGCAGCCCTGCAAGCCATTAATGCCGTCGAATACGAAGTCACCAACGCCGTGCCAACCACCCCCGGAGGTATCATCTTCACGAACGAGATCGGCCTCGACTACACTCGGCAGACACTACCATCCGCCACAGCTTTCATATGGAACCTCTTCCAGCAAACCACTGAGGCTGACCGGAAGAGCGTGCAGCGCGTGAGCCTCTTCATCGACGAGCTGGACCCTCCCTATGCTGGGGCAGCAGCCATAGCTTACAACAACAAAATCAATGTCAGTGCTGTGTACATCCAAGGCTTCTCCGGTGACAGAAAGAGAGAGTTCACCGGGATAGTTTATCATGAAATGACACATATATGGCAGTGGAATGGAAATGGGAACGCAAATGGTGGTTTGATCGAAGGGATTGCGGATTTTGTGAGGTTGAAGGCGGACTTAGCACCGGCACACTGGAGACAGGCCGGGGAGGGTGACAAGTGGGACGAGGGTTACGACGTGACGGCTAGGTTTTTGGATTATTGTGAGGGTCTTAGGAGTGGTTTTGTGGCTGAACTTAACAAGAAGTTGAGGAACAGTTATGATGTTGGCTTCTTTGTTGAGTTGTTGGGAAAGACAGTTGATCAGCTGTGGAGCGACTACAAGGCAATGTATGTAAATAATTAGGGTTTAACTTCATAGTAGTTCATGCATAATTACATATAAATGAATAAAATGAGTTGTGTGTATTGTGTAATGCTATTCAAAACATAAGCTCAAGTGAGACCAAATAAAACGACTCGTTGAAAAATTTTATGTTTGTTGTATTTTAGTTTTTTTACGGCTTAATACTATCCAACACCATTGCCTTTTTTTTTTTTTTTTTCCAAAAAATGTATCTGAAAAAGAAAAGATTATTACGTAGTTCCGAATTAAATGTGACACATAGACAAATACATAAATATTTATTGATGTGTCCCATGATGATTCATGGAACCCTATATTAATTGTAGTTCTTATGTATTAATTTATCTCCATTAGACACGAATAAAGCAATTGGATAGATGAGAAACTACTCATACAAGTCAAACCCCACAACATATAGAACACAATTTAAAAGGAGCATTGTTGCGCATTTTGAATTATTTCAAGACAAGCATTTCAAATCCAAGTCGCAATGATGTGTCAATTTAGCTGGCAATTAAGTGTGTTTTTTTAGTGGGCAATCATTGAGGTGGAATCGACTAGAAAAGTAAGGAAAGAGAAAAATTTTAATTTTTTTTCGAGTTTGGATAAATGAAAAAAAAAAACATAATGAAAAATTTTGTTTTCATACTTTTCTATTTTCTCTCAAAACTTTTCAGGAAAATAATATTTTCGTTTGAAATGTCATAAGAGTAATTTTGGTATGCTAAATCACCCTTTTTTTTATTTTTATTTTTATTTTTACACTTTCATGCTATCCAAAATAATAAATTAATATTTTTTTACAATTTTCTTGAATAAATTTTCATACTAACTAAATACATGTTAAAAAATAATTTTTTTTTTCTTTTATTTTCCATTTCTTTTATTTTCTTACTTGTTTCCATAGAAACATGAACCCTAAAATAGATACCAATAGATGAGCTATGGAGAGATCAAGGAGGAAATGAAGCCCTATGATCACTTTACAACCATATTTATATTGTTTAATTTTGGTCACTAAATTTTTCCAATATTTTATTCCACTATAAGCTATTCCACTTAATTAAAATTAGTAGGATACATTGAAAGAAAAGAAAAGAAATGAAATCATTAGTAGGCTCCAGTCATTTTGGTTAATGGTGGATTATGATCATGTGCGGCTGTGCATATGTATCAGTTGGAAATTGTGAGTGCAAAAATTAGTTCGACTTTGATAAGTCAACTAATTATTGCCCAACACTCAAAAATATAATTAAAAGAATAAAAGAATTATTGAAATCAATACCAAAAAAGTGTTGGACAATAATTAGTTGACTTGTCAAAGTCTAACCAATTTTTGCACTCACAATTTCCATCTGATACATAGGCACAGCCGCACATGATCATAATCCACCGTTAACCAAAATGACTGGAACCTAATTTTGTTCCTAAAATTTCTCCACTCAATCATTCTGTACCCACAATAGAGATATAAAAATTCGGCCTCAATTAATTAAATGGCTATCCAATTCTTACTCTAAACTCGATCTCTCCCTCAACTCCATACAAATGAATATAGTAAACATGGTTTTTTCTAAAAATTAACCATTTTGTCTACTGATCTATAAATACCTCAATTTTATACAATCATTAAATTATAAGTACTGATTCTATATCTTCTTCTTCCTCCTTTTTTTGGATAATAATGAGTAATGCACCACCCCTTTTCCTATAAAAACAAACCCCCTAAGCAAAATACATCACAACACAGCCATGTCTATACATCTTTTCCTAACATCTCTTATAACCCTAACAGCCCTCCAAAACACCCATGCCCTCCAATTTAAAGTCACCAACAATGCAGGATCATCCCCGGGAGGCCTCCGGTTCACGAAGGAGATCGAGGCCGAACGAGCTCGCCAAATAATGATAACCGCCACCAACTTCATATGGAACATGCTGCACCAAACCAACCCATCCGACCGGAAAAGAGTCGAAGCTGTGAGCCCGTCCATCAACCCCTACATTTGCGGCGCGGAAGCCATCACCTCGGGGTAGAACATCAATGTGAGCTCAGTGTACCTACAAGGTTACCAAGGTAACCTATTATGGGAATTCACTTCTTTGATTCACCATGAAATGACCCATGTTTGGCAGGGGAATGGGAATGGCCAAACCCCGGTCGGACTTATCGAAGGGATGGCGGATTACACTATCCTGAAGGCGCATTATGAGCCTAAGGGATATGCAAAACCTGGTCAGGGTGAGAAATGGGACCAAGGGTATGATTTTACAGCTAGGTTTTTGGAGTATTGTGAGGGTGTTAGATAAGGGTTTGTAGCGGAGCTAAACAAGAAGATGAAAGATTCTTTTAGTGTGGATTACTTTGTTGAGTTGTTAGGGAAGCCTGTTGATCAAATATGGAGAGAATACAAGGGTAAGTATCCTCAGGGAGGGAGCCAGCCTACGCAGAGTGGCGGATTCCGGCAACGTTCGGAAAAAATTTTCTAAAACCTCTCACCATCTTCACACTCATGACCCTCGCTTACTCGTTTTCACACTCTGTGGTTCTGCTTCCAAGTGATTATATCTACTCTCTTTCTTGTGAAGAATGTAATTAGTGTTAAAAGTTTCTTTTGAGGTGAAAATGGGGTTTGATTTGGTAGAAACTTTTAAAACCCCATTCATACACGAATTTTCTAAAGGTGACCATCTCTCGATCCATATTAAATTCATCTTCAAATTTGATAGAATAAATTTCAGAATATACTGGATCTTGAATCAAACTCAATTCATTTCATACTCTAATATAGAGTCCAACTACCCCAAGGGGTAAGCCCTGAGCCTAGGCGACTTGTCTATAACCTCTAATTTGGACCCAAAAATTTGTATTACAAGGGCCTCTCAAATGCTCAAGTTTGAAGTTTCCTGAGTGTGATCAATTCCTTAAGGGTGTCCCGACTGCAAACATAGTCCGAACTTTAATCGATTTGTGTGGAGGGGTTACTTTGCACAAATCCTGTGGAATTGGAGGACAAAGAAACCTTTGTTCACGTACGATAGGGATTATCGAGAACAAAAAATCTACAATCAATGTGTTATTATTTTTCTATATAATTCTAGATTCATTTAAAAATTCTCTTCTTTATATCCACTACCAACCTTAACATAAAAAAGGCACAATCTCAATCCATGCCACTTCTATTTTGAAACCCTAATTTTGAGGTATTTGAGCACAATAAGCAGTAATCCCATACCACCAGATAAACAGGTGGTGGACGCTTTTTTATTTTATTTTAATTTTTTCTTTTTAATTTTTATCTTGGCAAATTTGGGGGAGGGGGTTCGAACAAAGACATACCAGCCAGAGGAGCTCGGCGCTCTGCAGGTAGTGGACTGAATCACATTAAAAATAGACAATCTACAGATGAGTATACAGTTGCCCTTGATTGCAGTCAAATACTAAGATAACCATCTGTGAACCAAGAAATCAAAAATGGAAGAAATATCTCCATATGGTCGTACCTTCTCATGACCATATTATTTCTAGGTGCAAACATCACCTGGCACCTAATTCTCCATATGTTGGTCACTGTATATAACTCCATGCCTCCAATGGTTTTCGGCCTCTATTTTCAACTAATCTTAGCAGCCTGCAAACAATCCATGCATCAAATATAGTTTTATGAACAAGAACATAACAACCCCTTACGGGATCCAACTCAAGGATGAGATCGGAGTTGAATGCAGCAAACAATCCACCACAAGTTCCATACAATGGCGCTTCCAGTAAAACATTACAGAGAGTGCAGCTGTTGAGTCTGTTCATCGGAACCATGGTAGGGTGGCAGACTCATATCAACAACTGATTCACATCAGCAGCAACTATACACAGGATTATTAAGAGGGAAATAGATCGGGTGTTGTATCTCTAGACGATACACATGGCAGTGGAACAGGAATGGGCAGACTAGCTCCTGGAGGATTTATAGAAGAGATTCAGGATTTGTGAGGTTGAAGGCTAGGTTTTATGCAAGTCATTGGGTGAAACCGGGGAAAGGTGACCGGTCAAACAAAGGTTATGTTGTTACAGCTAAAATTTTGGACCATTGTAATAGTCCTAGAGATTGGGCTTGTGGCAGAACTTAACAAGAAGATGAGAACTGGCTAGAGTGCCAGTGCCATCTACTTTGTTCAGCTGTTGGAACAGTTTTACCGACTCTAGAGTGACTCCAAGGCCATGTATAAGAACCAGACATGTCTACTTATGGCTAAATGAACTGAATAAATTGTTGGACTAGTGATTTACCATCACCATGAAGCAAAACAAATGTCTAAATTAATAAACTATTCTAATAGCTATTTATTACAATTGCTATCTAAGGAAATCATTAAAAACCAAAAAACTTTTAATGTTGATTAATACCACTTACATGGCTATTGGTAAACAAATCAAATTATAGTTAAACCCCGTGACACCTGCACCCTGTAATGAAGATAACAGTACAAACAGCAAATCTTACAATATCATTTAAACACAAAAAAGGTGACAATAATTGAAGCAAGCAATTTACCGATACATAAAAATGCTGAAGCTTATCTGGGAGAACCCAAAATTCATGCCAAATAATCGATATTACGAAGAACATTATCATGAATGGATTTGCTGAATGGCTGAAACAACTTCATTGATAGCCTGAAATTCTCGCCTTTTCTTCAGCAGCATCTTGGCGCAGTTTAGAGCCCGCCGCTCACAATCTGCTCGTACACCAGCATCGGTGATTGATTCAAAATCCTCGACATGAGCTACCCCAACAATTCTCCTGCAAATCAACAGATAAAACATAATTGCTTGAGGCTTTTTATCAATCTACTCCAGAAGAAAGATATTCTAAAGTATTCTATAGAATAAAAGTTAGTCGGATTATCCAACATAAAAACTGCAGAAAATCAATTGAGTTAGGAATAGGCTTCTCCGCTTGTCGGCTATCAATCAGTATGGAAGCTAAGTTCGAATTTCACATTCGACCATCACACATTAAATTGAGTTAATATGGCACGTGTATAAAAAAAAACTAATCCATATTACTCTTTGTTTGCCACCCAAAGGAAAAGATACATATTTCAAATTTAAAATAATGTCCGGTAAGAGTTTGTTAATGACATGCATATAAATTCTTGTAACACATTTAAAACTTGATCTAAAAAAACTATTACAATGAAAGCAGATCCTGTATATTGAAAAGGAGATCATGCCATAAGAATATCAGAATGACGGACTTTGGTAGCTGATACAGAACAGTGGAAACAACACGCAGTAATAATAATAATGATCATTACTAACCAAAAAAACAATGATGATCATCTATAGTTTTCATGGCATAACATGAATTTCAGGAAAAATTTAAACAGGTTTACTAACCAAAAATGTCCTTTGAGTTTCATAGTTCCAACTATATAATCACTTTTTAAGAAAAAAATATATATCTACATGGCAATAGATGAAAAAATGTTAGCCGACCAAAATTTTTGGATACAACATTTAGCAAATTAATGAAAACATTAAATTGAACGGTTTTCATCAAAATTTAGAACAGAATTACTCTAAACACTAAGGCACAAAACTGAAAATTAAGCAACAAAAATTTTAAGAGCTAAATTTTAAGTGCTAATAAATAGAGAATTTCTTAGATAATTTTTTAAATTTCAAGTGTTTGGTCATAAAAGAAGTCTCATTGACTTAAAATTTTATCCCATTTTAAGTGTCGCTTTTAAGTGGTATCCATATTGCGTTACCAAAAGCACTTGAATAAAAACTTAATTTGTTCTAAATGAAATACTAAATTGAGTTATCAAACAACACCTAAGGAAATTTTCTATAATAGATTAGTTAAAAGGTTTCATCAAAATTATTTGTCCACAGAAAATTGCATTAAACACATTTTGATAATGCACTTTGAACGTTAAACATCAATAATTTCTAAATTCCACTTTTTTTTAGAGTAATTAGCCAAATATGCACCCTAAGAGTTGGGGGACCCATGAAAAGTTTATATATCAATTCATATGTATTCATTAGTCCCACAAAAATAAAACTACAGCATTTTTTTTTTTTTAAAAAGAGCTTCTTCGGCGATAAATGAGCCTTATATGGGAGTTTATAAGAATAACATTGAAGTAATCAATTCTAAATCCACCTTTTTTGAGAGGGTAATCAATTTTAAATTTACTTTTTTTTAGAGGGTAATCAACCAAATTTGACATGTCCTTGAGAGTTATGGGACCCATAAGAAGTTTATATAGTAATTGATGCTATTAGTCCTATTACATCAGTGTGTGTGTGTGTATATAGGAAATAATTTTATTCTACTTAATCATATTAGGAATCTGTTAAAATAATATTGCAGTACTTGATTTTTCTCATATATACTAAATTATAAATTGAATATTAAGTATTTACTAAAAAGTACTAACCAATGCATCTAATAAACTAGTAGCAGTAGACTAGTTTATTAATTAATGATTTTACAATATTTGATTATTAATTGGTCCTAACAATTACCTAGTATTAGTGTGCATTCTTGTTGGGTTTAGAAGCTGAAATGGTGAAAAATAAAATAAATTTTGTATAAAGTAGTGCTAGAAACGAGATTTATAGAACCTCACTCATCAAAACTACCATTATAGCACTGTAATGGCATGTAAGAGTTTGTTGGTACGTAATGGTCCATAATGGGTGTTACCATCTATAACGGCTTTTATGAGTGATTTAGTTAGGTTCAATGCATTGACCTACAAAAGTATCGCCACTTGGCAATACTGTTGTGTGACGGAAACATCTTCAAAAGCATGGAACATGTCTTGATCTTGAGCCAACACGAACACCTTTAGTTTCAACTGAATAGAGCTCAACAAGCTAATCCTTGGGCGGCAAGGTTCATTTGCATCACAAGCTAAAAAGTAATGGAAAGAAAAGCCAAAAAAGCAAAGGGGAAAGGAAGTATCTTTAACAATTGAAAGAAAAATATGGAGAAGTATAAAGGGAAACAATCTCACCTTATCATTTTGGCGGCTCCAAATCCAAGAGTATCTTGGAGTAAACCTTTCATGAATGTCTGTTTAACAAGCTGCTGAAGCTCAGGGTTATTATAAATTTCTGAAAGATAAGCCTCGCCGGAGCCATCTCTGTGTTCATCCCAAAGAGCAGTAAATTTTTTTTCAAACAGATTCCATGTGTCTTCTATTGACCTCAGAATCCACTCTTTATATGTCTGCAAGAAAACATGTTCTTTAATCATAATTTGCACAGAAAAGAAATCATATACAACACTGGTAATGCCAAAAGAAAGTATTAATATCTACGATAAGTTTAATTTAAAAAAACACACACACACACGCACGCACACCAAAAAACACTCAAATGATTCTCAACAAACCAAATCAAGAATATAAATGAATAAACTAATTTATTTTTTAAAAATGAAACATGCAAGGACGGCAATAAATATTATTTTGCATTTCATCTACTCAAATGACTAGTATCTTGATTTCTTTAAGAAAAAAGTGACCTACAAATAAAGCATCTCCCAGAAAAAATAATATGCCAGAGAACAATGTCATATAAACCATACTTCGTTTTCCTCTTAAAGTACAGTGATTAAAGCATGGTCAGCAAGTGCTGCAGCCTATATCAAATTGTACTCCACCACAACATTCAGCTGAAGTCCTTCATTTTCATATGCAGTAAACATATTCATATTTCATTGATTCCGTATTTTCACTCAACTATATATTATCATCTTATTCTTAAACTTTAAAACCTGCAACTGGTTTTTAAAAAGCCACGGCAACAAATCCAAATTGAATTCATATCACTGAAATGTTTCTAGTTCTTAATGCTCGATTCAGATATCCAAAAGAGGGGAAAATGAAACGAATAAAAAAAAAAAAGCTGTTTGCAACCTGCATATGAGCATTTATAACTTCTGGACTATTTATACACAAGTGTTTATATACCAAGAAGCATGAATACAGATCACAATTATGACATGATTTGGACACAGGAATGTGACAAATCTCAAAAAAATTAAGATATGGACACTGCAAGGATACATAAAAAAGAATAATAATATAATATATTATTATATTATAGAAAATCATCTTTGCTTATTTTATCTAGATTATTATGAACGTAATCACTAATTTAAGTTTAGTGCTGGATAGATACCGTTTTCTAAAATTTTATATTACTTTTCTAAGCAACCCATCATATGTTTTAAAATGACATTGGAACTCCATTTTTTTTTAAAAAGAAAAATAATCGCGAAACTTAGTTGCCATCTCTTGAAAGTGTCCCAAACATGTCCCCGCTGTGTCCATTGTCTGCCATAGCGTGTCAACTAAGAGAAGAGAATATTCAAATTGCAGGTCAAGTCTGGCCATGTTGGACACGCGTCCAGCCATGTCCCACAAGTGTCCGGGTCAAACCGTGTCTGACATGGCCATGGCATTCCTAGAGGAGTGTATGTGCTACCTAGATGATAGATCAAATGCAAGACACTTGAGAGAAATATGCTGACAAAGAGAAATCATAAAATTGGTGTAGGATTTTTATAGATTTATAAGTTAAATAATTTAGGTGGCTAACAAGTTGGACTCTTTGAAAAGCTCTTCGTCTTGTGTTCCTTCTTCTTCTACCCCGTCTTCATCTTCTGGATTGTTGAGGATTGGCTCTAAGAGTTCGATGAGGCCAGTGTCCTTTGTTTCATTGGCTTTGGGAGATGGTTTGGAGATTGGGCAGAAGGTGTTGTTTGGGGGCTTTCAGGTGGAGGGGTTGGGATCTTCTCGACCGGTGGTTCGGAAGGGTGAGAATGTCACAGTCTATGTGGGACGTGATGTGAAAATTCGGTTGGATGATGCTTCTGCGGCTGTGTTGTTGAGTGAGTTGCGGACTCATTTAGCCTTGAAAGGCTTTCAAGGTGGATCGATTGGGCCTTTGTCTGCAGAGGAATGTGGGATCTTGCTAGTTTCCTGCTCACCTCCTCCATCGATTTTTGAGGATGTTGATGGTGGGTCAGTTTCTTCTGTTAATGAGGATTTGGGGTTGATTCAGTGGAATGGCAGTGAGACAGATTTTGATGTTTTTGCTCCTTTGGCTGTTGTTCGGCCGGAAGAGGATTTTGTTGCTGGGAATGTTTTTGAAGCAGGGATGACTGATGTGGAGGAGGATTGGATGAGGGAGAAAGGTGTTGAGATTGGCTCTTTGTTGGGAGTCTCTTTTGAAGACAGAATGGAGGAGGCGACTAACTTGCTTCTTGAGATTCTGAATGCTCAGCAGATGGAAAGAATGGGTTGTAGGGGGAAGAGAGGAAATTTTCCAATGGGGGAAGAGGAGGGGCGTGTCGAGCCCAACGGCACTTGTCACTTACGAAAGAAGGAGAAAGGGTTCTAGGGAGAGGGGTGGACAAGGAAGGGGAAAGACTGTCAATTCTGTTGTCTCTATGAAGCTACAAATTCTTTCATGGAATGTCCGGGGTCTCAATGACCCAGTTAGAAGAAAAGTGGTGAAGGCGGTTATTCGTCAGAGAGGGGGGGGGGGGGGGGGGGGGGGGGGGATTTGTGGAGTGGTTTGCTTTTGATGCAATTGGCTCTGTGGGGGGTGTTCTTGTGATGTGGGATAACCGGTGGGTCTCTAGGTTCGCGTCTCAGGTTGGGATTTTCTCTGTTTCCTGCATTTTCTCTATGGTGGAGGATGATTTCTGTTGGGTGTTCTCTGGCATTTATGATCCTAATGAGGATAGTGATCGTCATTTGCTTTGGGAGTTGGGAGAGGTTCATAAGGGTTGTCACTGCCTTGGTGTATTGGCGGGAATTTTAATGTTGTTCGTTCTCCTTTTGAGCGATCGATGGGAGGTAGGTGGACAGTTGATATGGAATCTTTTTCGGAGTTCATTGACGTTTTTAGATTGATTGATTTGCCTTTGGTGGGTGGGCCTTTCACTTGGTCCAGTGATCGTTCTCCTCCTACCCTCTCTCGACTTGATAGATTCCTTGTGTCAAGCGATTGGAAGGAGCACTTTTCGGATGTTGTTCAGGCCACTTTGGCTCGCCCTTTATCAAAACAATGTTCCGTTGATGTTGGATTGTGGTGGGCTGCGTAACAGAAGATCCCCTTTTTGATTTGAGAACATGTGGCTGCGGGCGGAGGGGTTTTTGGAGCGAGTTCGTTCTTGGTGGATGGGGTATTGTGTGGCAGGCACCCCTAGTCACTCTCTCGCAGGTAAGCTGCGGTTTTTGAAGAATGATCTTAAGGTTTGGAACAAAGAGGATTTCGATAATCTAGTGTGGAGAAAGAATCGGGTTTTTTGCTGAGATTGTTGATATTGATCGTTTGGAAGGTCAGGGCACTTTGGCAGACTCCTTCAAAAGTAGGAGGGTAAAGTGTCGGGCAGAGTTTGCGGAGATTGTTGTCTTGGAAGAAATCTCATGGAGGCAAAAGTCTAGAGCTTTGTGGCTCAAGGAAGGGGACAATAATACGAAATTTTTTCATAGACTTGCCAACGCTCATAGAAGGAGCAACCATATTGGGAGGATTCGGGTGGATGGGGAGGTTTTTTGTAAGGAGGAGGAGATATGTAAGGGTTTTACTGATTTCTTTTCTATGTAGTTTACCGAACCGAATGGTTGGAGACCTTTGCTGGACGGGCTTCATTTTGACTCTATTTCGAGTGAGGAATGTTCCATTCTGGAAGTGCCTTTCTCTGAAGAGGAAGTTGTGTCTGCTTTGAAGAGCTGTAACAAGGATAAAGCCCCAAGTCCTGATGGGTTTTCAATGCGTTTCCTTTTGGAGTGCTGGGAGGTGGTCAAAAAAGATGTGATGGGTTCTTTTCACGCTTTCCATGCTCATGGCTCTTTTGAGAAGAGTTTAAATGCCATTTTCATTGCTCTCATTCCGAAAAAGGGAGGAGCGTTTGATGTTATGGATTTTCGTCCTAGATGGTGTCATCTCGGACTCTCAGAATGCTTTTGTGGGAGGTCGTCAGACTTTGGATTCAGTTCTTATTGCCAGTGAATGTGTGGACTCCAGGTTGAGCAGTGGGGTTCCGGGTGTTGTTTGCAAGCTAGACATTGAGAAGGCGTACGACCATGTGAGTTGGAGCTTTCTCATTTATTTGATGGAGAGGATAGGGTTCGGGAACCGGTAGAGAAGATGGATTCTTTTTTGTATCTCTAGTGCTCGCTTCTCTATCCTTGTGAACGGAGCTCCGATGAGATTTTTCTTTAGTTCGAGGGGCTTGAGATGGGAGGATCCACTGTCCCCTTTTCTTTTCCTTTTTGTGATGGAGGCACTCAGCAGATTGTTGAAAAAGGTTGTTGAGCTTGGCTTTTTAAGAGGCTTTCGGGTGGGTAAAGATGTTGCTAGTCAATTGGAGATCTCCCACTTGATGTTTGCAGATGATACCTTAGTTCTTTGTGATGCCGATGCGTCCCAGCTAAGACATTTGAGATGCGTTTTAGTTTGGTTCCAAGTTGTCTCTGTGCTTAAGGTGAATGTCGGAAAGAGTGTTTTAGTGCCGGTTGGGGAGGTTCCTGATATTGAGATGTTTGCTCAAATCCTTGGATGTCGCACTGGATCGTTCCCCATTTCTTACTTAGGTTTACCTTTGGGAGCCTCTTCGAGATGTGTGGGGATCTGGGATCCGGTGGTGGATAGATTTGAGAAGAGGCTAGCGGGTTGGAAGAAACAGTACCTCTCCAAGGGGGGAAGGGTCACTCTGATTAAGAGCACCCTTTTTTGCCTCCCAACTTATTTCATCTCTCTCTTTCAGATTCCTTCGTCTGTGGCTTAGAGAATTGAGAGTTTGCAGCGTAATTTTCTTTGGGGGGGAAGAGGAGAGGAGTTTAAGTATCATCTAGTTCGCTGGGAGCAAGTTTGCTGTCCTTTACGGAATGGAGGTCTAGGGATTAGAAGGTTGTTGCCTTTCAATAGGGCCTTCTTGGGAAATAGCTTTGGAGATTTGGGGTAGAGAGGCATTGGCTCTGGAGGAGAGTTATGGCTAGCAAATTTGGGGAGAGTAGTGGAGGGTGGAGCTCCCTTGAGGTGCGTGGTCCTAGGGGGGTGGGGTTTGGACTTGCATCCTAAAGAGGTGGGACGCCTTTAGCAAGCATGTTCGTTTTCGGATCAGATATGATAGGAGGATCAGATTTTGGGAGGACCTTTGGTGTGGAGAGTTTCCCCTTGCTCTTTCTTTCCCACGGCTCTATAGGATTGCTTCTCATAGGCAGGCCCGGGTGGTTGACTATTATCATCTTGATAACGAAAGACTAACTTGAGATGTGCAGTTTAGGAGGCATTTTCAGGATTGGGAGATTGAGGAGGTCACTCGTTTTTTGGAGTTACTGTATCGCCAGGTGATTTCTCATGGGGATTCTGATTGTTGGATTTGGAGTCCTAATTCTCAGGATAGGTTCGAGGTGAGGTCTTTTTTAGGTGCCTTTCTGTTGGTGATGGAGGTCCTTTTCCGTGGAAGTCTATTTGGCGCTCCAAGGCTCCCCGTAAGGAGGCCTTCTTTGCTTGGACTTCGGTCTTGGGTAGGATTTTAATCCAGGATAATTTAAGGAGGAGGAATCAAGTGATTGTCAATCGTTGTTTCTTGTGCTTGCACAAAGAGGAGACCGTTGATCACCTTTTGTTGCATTGCAACATGGCTAGAGACTATTGGGATTTGATGATTGGTTTATTTGGGGTCCCTTGGGTTATGCCATCTTCTTCTCAAGGGTTGATTGAGGTTTGGAGGGGTGTCCTAGTGGGGGCTCTTATTCAGGATGCTTGGAGGGCTACGCCTCTTTGTATTTGGTGGTGCATTTGGCTCGAGAGGAATCGGAGATACTTCGAGGGAAAGGAGAAGCCTATTTTTGTGCTCAAGTTCTCCATTATTTCCACTCTCTTTTGTTGGGTTTCCGGGAGAGATTATCGTTCTATTGATGAGATTGTTATTTTTTAGACCCTTTAAAGGCTTGAAGCTTTTTGTGGCCTTTTGTTTCTTTGGGTTTCGCTCCCCATTAAGCACTTTTTATAAAATCTACTTATCAAAAAAAAAAACAAAGTAACAGATATATCTTATCGAGACAAAAGAACAATGAATAACATTCCATTTAGAAAATATTGTGCTTCCTACATGATAGATTAAATGCAAGATACTTGAGAGTTATATGCTGACAGAGAAATCATGAGATTGGTGTAGGATGCCAACAAAGATTTCCGCAAACAGCGAAGTAACAGATATATCTTATTGAGACAAAAGAACAATGAATAGCTTTTCCATTTAGAAAATATCATACGTGCTTAAAACACAATGTGGAATGTGAAGCTTTTTTTTTCCCCTTCCTTTAGGCCAAGAACATGGTTTCCATTTGATGTATAAAACAATACGTGGCTACAGTAATGTGAAAGAATAAACCAATCAGAACATAAAACCTAAGATCCCAAACTTCTTTTCATCAGATGATAGGATGTTTCCAAAAAGTGACCCATTGGAACTTATAGCTGTCGGAAATTGTCAAAAGACAAGAAGATCCATATAAATCCCAGATAGTTGGACAAGTCATAATCGAAAGACTATTGGTCTCCAGAAGAGCAAATTCAAAATCATCAGATACCTTAATAATAAAGTGGTGGATAACTTACATAGTTCAAAACAAAGAGAAAAAGGAAAGGAAAAGAAGAAAACCAAACTATACAGTCAAATAAGCATGACAAAAAAAAAAAAAAAAAAAAAAAAAAAAAAAAAAAAAAAAAAAACCCTGCACAGGATGTCAAAGCTCAGGTCATAAAGAATTAGAACACTGCAAAAACCAGAACTAAATAAAATATGCCTTAATACTTCTTCTTCTTCTTCTTCTCCTTTTCCCGTAAGTAAGAACTAAAATATATAATTAATATGCAAAATGAATAACCAGGACATACTTTTCGGTCATTGCTCTGATTTGCATGTCCATCTTGGGCAAAGAAAGCCAGAATCAAGTTTCCTAGAAAGGCTCCAATATCAAACCCCATTGGTCCATAGAAAGCAAATTCTGGATCTATAACTTGGGTTGAATCATGAGTAACCATGACAGAACCAGTATGGAGATCACCATGTACAAGGGCTTGCGCTCTCTCACAGAACCTGCGGAATATAACCAAATAGTATCAGAAATAGCTCAAACTGAAAAGTGAAATGTTACAAATATCATAAAAAATCTGCTACCAAGATGGCCACATTACATGGATTTCAACTCAGCAACTTCAAGTTTCAAAGCATTATCCTCCCGAACTGCCTCAGCATCATGATCAAGATATGGGGAGGTCCAATGGTTATATTGAGATACTTTATAAGGATCAGAAAACACAACCTGCTCAGTGAGCCTGCATAACTCCACATTTCCGCAAAATTCAGCAACTGCATAAAGCATTAAAAGTTACATGAATTCAAGTGTGTTAATGCAGTTAAGAATCTACAATAAGGAGAAAAATTTTAACCCGTCTTTCCATGAATTACTCACGGAAACAAAAAAGTTGACCATCTGAAAATTAAAAGAAAAAAAAGAAGAAAAAGAAAAGAAAAGAAACCACTTCGAGAAAGTGTATAACTAGAACAGAATATATGAGTGACAAATTGACATAACAATGTAGAAGACTGTGAGAAAAGTTTGATCTAATAATTTTGAGGTGCAACTTTACAACAAAGACCAATGAGTGCATTAAACGATATAAATTGGACACAAGAATAAATCTGAGGTGCAAATACACAACATTATGGAGGGTTATGTATTGGTAAATAACTCCCTGGTTTGCCTCAGCATTCTTCTGACTCACGACTCACACGTTCACGTAGATGGTCTACCATTAGTGTTTAGTTGAAGATCAAGCAAACTAAGAATTAAGAATACTATATATCGCCGGAACCTTAGTGAGCTTAATTTCTCGAAATATTAAAGCTAGTCACCAAATTTCAAGTTAGATAATTGTTTATGACTCCAAAAAAGCAAATAGATCAAAATTTCAACATCAATTACCATTTACCAATGTTAGTATTGGTTCTCAACTCACACAAAACTTATTCTAGAGTATTGTAGGCCGATTGACACATGTTCACTTTTGAAAACACTTTAGAACTCGTGTTAAAAGTTATCCAAGTCAACTTCCAAATCAAACAAAAATGAGTTCAACATTGTTCCAAATTTCTAACTAATTCCAATTTCACAAGATCAATTACAAAATATCTAAATCATCTAAGCTATCAAGTACTCAATCTAAACCTACAGTATTCTAGGTTACTTACCTTTCCTAATTTGTGTGAATGTTGGCACTTGAAGAATCATGTGGAGTTGAGTATCTTCATGATTCCCACCCCAATACAAGTGTACACAGAGTTCCGATGTTTAAAAAAACTAATGCTTGCTTAACACATTTGCACCACAAGCTAAGTAAACAACCAACCAGTCATGGATGTCCATAAGTGGTTAATTTTTCATAATCTAGAAACAGACAGTGACATGCTAAGGAAAGGCGAGAATAAATATAAATTATGCATTTGGAGTCCAATTTTTTTAATTTCAATGAAAATAAGTAAGCCTTAAATCATGAACTGAAAATAAGTAAGCAACCGATCACCTTCTCGTTTGTGCTCCGTGGTAGTACGATAAAGAAGGGATGTGAAGAAAAGAGTCCTTGCCATATATTCTGACATGTGTTCTGCAAGCAACGGGTACTCATGTCCAGCAATCAACCCTTTCCTCAAAATTATATGTGGAGGCTCCAAATAACGCATACCAATCAAACACATAGCCCGGTCAAAATGATAAACTTCTGGAACATGACCAGGGCATAAACGACCATGCTCGTTCAGTGCTGTAGCCTCAAAGTAAGCACGCTCCTTTGCCATTGGCCATGATTCCCCTATGCATCGTATGTATGGAAGAGCCTGCACAATCCGGCAACCAGAATTGACAATCAAAAAACAATATACTCTGTCAGAACACTTAGATGCCACGAATATGCAAACTGGCCTAAAGAATCAATTGAGCTAAGTCCATATTCTGAATATAAACTGATTACACAATCTATAAAAATCACCATCTTGGAACATAATAGAGTGATATATTAAGTGCATAGATACAATTTCATCTTTCCAAATACCTTTCTTTGTGATCAAACATATGTCTTTAAAATTTTACGAGTTGAAATATATCGTGATTAAAGAACATGTGAATGCAATACAACCTTTCTTCCTAGCCAGGCCAGATTACAATAGAAATCATCCTTGTGCTTTACACCTTTTTCAGTGTTCAGTCCATGGTTTAAAATTTCAGCATTATCTCACAATACTTTGCTTGATAACAGGAAACAGTGGCAAATAAATCAGATATTTTAACAATAGTGTAGTATCCATGTTCATAATATATTGTGATCCACCTCCAAAAAAAAAAAAAAAAAAAATCCTAAAATAGAAAAATAATTGGCTTACACTGGGTATAAACCCATCTAAAGCCATAATAAGCAAACATAGATATTTAATTATTTATAGTTGTTTGTAACATTGAAAATGAACTATTAGGTTACCCAATATCACATACACTAGCAATCCACATTCCACAACGATATCAAAAGTAAAGATCAACAATTCTTATACAGCAAATCCACTTTATTACAGAATCTGAACTTGCAAATCATTTTTAAAAACAAATGGGTTTGTTGTAACATCAAAATGAACTCTTAAGCCACCAAAAAATTACACAAAATAGCAATCCACATTCCACAACCAATTCAAAGGTAAAGCTAAACAATCTTTATACAGAAAATCTTCTTTACTAAAGAATCTGAAAAACTGCAAATCATTTAAAAACCAAATGTGTTTGTTTGTAACATCAAAATGAAATCTTAAGCCACCAAAAAATCACACAGACTAGCAATCCACATTCCACAACCAATTCAAAGCTAAAGCTCAAAAATCTTCATACAGCGAATCAAATCCCCTTTTACCACATAATGTGAAAAATCATTTAAAAAACAAATGGGTACCTACCTGCTTGATGACAAAAGAACCAGAGCCTCCAACAACGATGTAGACGAAGTTGAGATTGCCATCACCCACTTCTTTGACTTGCAAATCATCGAAGTGGTTGCCGAGCTTGGAAGATAAAGAAGGCGTGGCCTTTATGTACTCTATGAGGGACTTCTCGTCCAGTGGCCGGAAACCGTCGTCCGCCGACGCCATTAGCGGTGGAGGTTGGTGGCGCTGTTTGTATCAGACGGAGGTGGGTGTGGCAGGTCTTAACTATTTAGGACTTTTGGGAATGGAAGAGGCATGAGAAATGTACTTATGAAAGAGAGAGAATCAAATTCCAAAGATGAGTCAATTGGGTCCCAAAATGTTTAGGGAAATGGAATTAGGGATAGATTGAACCTGGACCTTTTCTTGGACAATGGGAGTAATGACTCTCCAAATTTGTTAATAATAATAACAAATTTGAACATTACTTCTGTTTACTATTGTTTGGGAAAATAGAAATGGGAATGGAATTGAAATTGGAATTGGTATCGATGAAATTTAAAAAATATTTAATTCAAATTTTTGAATTATTTTTCTCTAATTTTATCATTTTTTGAAATTTCACCTATTATAATTTCAATTTCATGCATGCCAAACATAGCCTTATATTATACTTGGATTATTTTCATTTTTAGTAAATGCATAAAAAAATGATATTTTCATGAAAATAACGTAACGAATTCACTGATTACTTTGGTTCATGAAAATGGGATTCATGTGAATCACACAATGATGAAATCAAAGGTTATAAATAATAATATTAACAAAAGTAATGATATATCTAAATAAAATAAAAAATTAGACCATTTGCTTGGTCTAAAAGGTTTTTTTATCTTTGAATGGGTGGACTGAATTAAACTCAATTGTGGATTCCATCCACTTTATTTTTTAGGTCAGAACTAAACAAATCCGCCTCAGAATCATTTTCCAAAAAAATTACACGACGACCAACAAGTGCTACCCTAGATTTCGCAGGTTCTGTTAATTTTATGCATTAAAAATCATCGGGAAGAATCTCCTTTGCCTTTCTTAATTACAACCATCTGATCCCTTTTTTCTTAAATTGATTTTTGATCAATCCAAAAATTTTGTTTTGGTTTGGTCAACTTTATCGAGTCTAATAATTTTTCATAAAAACACATATCTTATTATTCTAATTAAGCATCCCAAACAGATGGCATATAACTTTGCTAATCATATTCAAGTTTTCGTCTTCTTTTTTCCAAAAACAATTTCTTCTTTTTTCCTGAAGCCGACACTTCTATTATTTAGAAAAACAAAAACAAAAAACAAGAAGATTACAAACAAGACATACCTCCCAAGCCAACAACAAAGCTCATCTAGATTACACCATTTCCAGTAATTAACAAGCCTAAACAAGAAGTAAAAAAAACCAACAAACGGAAATACAAACCCAAAGAACAACAACAACAACATAGAAAAACACCAGGAATAGCTATCGCATAACAAAGGAACTAAACACCAGGATCAGAGGGAAAAATAACTCCACAAGATCCTGCACCTTGCCTCCAAGAGTATCAACCACATTCCAAAGAATTTGTCTAGCTGTTTGATGAGAAGAAGCAGACTTTCCTTCATGAAGATTCAAATTCCAAGACCACCAAATATATTCCAATCCGAGTGAAATAGATTCGCCAACCAATCTATTCTTACCAAACTATTCCAAATTTTGTGGTAAATTATTGATATTACGAAGAAAACTATCATGATTGGAGTTTCTGAATGGCTGAAACTACTTCATTGATGGCCTGAAATTCTCGCCTTTTCTTCAGCAGCACCTTGGCAAAGTTTAGAGCCTGCCGCTCACAATCTGCTCGTATACCAGCATCAGTGATTGATTCAAAATCCTCGACGTGAGCTACCCCTACAATTCTCCTGCAAATCAACCGATAAAACAGCATTGCTTGAGGCTTTTTATCAATCAAATCCAGAATAAAGATATTCTGAAGTATTCTATAGTAGGATCATCCAACATAAACACTGCAACGGATTATTAAACACCAATCACAGTTCAAGACAAATGAAAAACTTTGATTACTGTTGACAAAGTCACTTTTGAAATACATTTTACGGGTTAACTGAGCCGAGTTTAGTCAGCAACGGAGCCCACTGAGAGGCTAATAAGCTCAGCTTGAACTGTCGTGGTTAGGCTCAACTTGATCTTGACCCATGCATGAACACTTATAGTTCAACTGAATAGAGCTCAACAAGCTAATCCTTGGCACAGCATGGTTCATTTGCATCCCAAGATAAAAATTAATGGAAATAAAAGCCAAAAAAGCAAAGGGAAATACACGATCTTTAACAATTGAAAGAAGATACGGAGAAGTGTAAAGGGCAACAGTGCAGAAAATCTATCTCACCTTATCATTTTGGCAGCACCAAATCCAAGAGTATCATGGAACAAATCTTTCATGAATTTCTGTTTTACAAGCAGCTGAAGCTCGGGGTTATTATAAATTGCAGGAAGATAAGCCTCACCAGAACCATCTCTATTTTCATCCCAAAGAGCTGTAAATTTTTTGTGAAAGAGGTTCCAAGTGTCTTCTATTGTCCTCAAAATCCAATCTTTATATGTCTGCAAGAAAACATGTTCTTTAATCATAATTTGTGCACAAAAGTAATCATATTCGACGCTAGTAATGCCAAAAGAAATTATTAACATCTATGATGAGCTTAATTTCATAAAACACACACCCTAGAAGCACACACATGTTTCTCAACAAACCAAATCCAGAATATAAATGAAGAAATTTTTTTTTTTAGAAAAAAAGAAAAAGAAAAAAGGAAAGATGAAACATGCAAGGAAGGTCATAAATTATTACTTTGTAATTTCATTTAGTCAAATGACTAGCATCTTGATTCTTTAAGAAAAAGTGACATACAATGAAGCATCTCCCAGGAAAAAATAGTATGCCAGAGAACAATGTGAAATAAACCATACTACAAATCACACAGTGATTAAAGCAGGGTCAGCAAGTGCTGCACCCTATACCAGATTGTACTCCACAAAAACATTAAGTTGAAGTCCTTCAATTCCATATGCAGTAAACATATATATTTTTATGGTAAATAAGTGTGTAAATTAAAAGAAAAAATAATTACACATTCATATGTCTTTGTTATGCAGTAAGCATATTCATGTCTTTTATTCCATACTTTCACTCAACTCTATATTATCACCTTATTCTTCCACTTTAAAATCTGCAACAGGTTTTTATAAAGCTACCGCAACAAATCCAAAGTGAATTCATTACTGAAACATTTCTAGTTAGCTGTTTGCAACCTGCATTGCTTGAGCAGATGCTTTAGGCAACATATGATCGTTAACTTCAGGACCATTTATACACAGGGATGGTACACTAAGAAGCGCGAATACAGGCACGGAAACAGGTACAACATGACGCGGACGTAGGGATACAACAAATCTCAAAATAATAGGACACGGAACGGACACGGCAGGCAGGGATACATCAATATATATAGAGAGAGAGAGAGAGAGAGAAAATAATCTTTGTGTATTTTATCTAAATTATTATGAATGTAATCACCAATTTACAGTTTAGTGCTAGATAAATATTGTTTTTGTTTACTAAAATTTATATATTTTTTTACAAGTGTTTTCTAAAATTTCTATTATTTTTTAATTAATCCATAATATGTATTAAATTTACATTGGAACCCCTTTTTTTAAACAAAAAAAAATTGGGAAACTAGTAGTCGTCTCCCGAAAGTGGTGTAGTATTTTTATAGATTACAAGTAAAATGATTTAGGTGGCTAACAAATATTTCTGCAAACCAGAAAGTAACAGATATATTTCATGGAGACAAAAGAACAATGAATAACATTCCATTTAGAAAATACATATGTGCTTAAAGCATGGTGTGGTATGTTAAGCTTTTTTTCCCCCCTTTAGATCAAGAACATGTTTTCCATTTGAAGTATAAACGAGCAGGCAGCTAAAGTGATGTGAATGAACAAACCAATCAGAACATAAATCCATTAATCCCAAAAAAAAATTATCAGATGCTAGGATGTTTCCAACAAGTGACCCATTGGAACTTTATTGCAGTCAGAAATTGTCAAAAAAACAAGAAGATTCATATAATCCCAGATAATTGGACAAGTCATAGTCGAAAGACTATTGGTCCAAAAAAGAGCCAATTCAAGATACCTTGATACTAAGGGGGTGGATAGCTTACATAATTTACAACAAAGAGAATAGGAAAGGGAAAGAAGAAAACCAAACAACAGAGTCAAATAAGCATGACACGAAAAAATAGGAAAAGAACAGCAAAAAATGTCAAAGCTCAGGTCATGAAGAATTAGGACACTGGAAACACCAGAACTAAAATAAATATTCCTTCTTTTTTTCTTTCTGTAATTAAGAACTAAAGTACATAATTAATATGCAAAATGAATAAGCAGGACATACTTTTCGGTCATTGCCCTGATTTGCATGCCCATCTTGTGCAAAGAAAGCCAGAATCAAGTTTCCTAGAAAGGCTCCAATATCAAACCCCATTGGTCCATAGTAAGCAAATTCTGGATCTATAACTTGCGTTGAATCATGAGTAACCATGACAGAACCAGTATGGAGATCACCATGTATAAGGGCTTGCGCTCTCTCACCGAACCTATGCAATGTTACCCGCTAGTATCAGAAATACTCCCACATCTAATATATCATTAAACAAACGGAAAAGTGAAATGTTATTATTATCATAAAAGATGCTACTAAGATGACCACATTACATGGATTTCAACTCAGCAACTTCAAGCTTCAAAGCATTATCCTCTCGAACTGCCTCAGCATCACGATCAAGATATGGGGAAGTCCAATGGTTATATTGAGATACTTTATAAGGGTCAGAAAAGACAACCTGTGCAGTGTGCCGGCATAACTCCATGTTTCCACAAAATTCAGAAACTGCAAAAAAGCATTAAAAGTAACATGAATTCCATTGTGTCAATGCAGTTAAGAATCTACAATAAGGAGGAAAATTTTAACCCATTCTTCCATGGACTACTGTGGAAAAAAAAAATTGATTCTCTGAAATAAAAAAGGGGAAAAGAAAAGAAGCAACCATTAACTAGAACAGAATATCTGAACGAGAAATTTACGCAGCAACGATAGAAGACAATGTGAGAATGGTTTGATCTAATAATTTTGAGCCGGAACATTACAACAAAGATCAATGAGTGTGATAAACGATATTGATTGGACACAAGAATAATTTGGAGGCGCAACATGACGATAAAGACCAATGAGTGCGGGGAAATGATATAATTTGGACACAAGAATATACTAGAGCAATAGAATCAAAAGAAAGAACATTATTTGACTCTAGGAAAAAGACATGGCAGCCTATGTCTCAAAAGAAGTTGTAAGCTAACATAGAGTTAGAATGAAAATATATGTATATATATATATATATATATATATAATTCATGTAAGGTTCTAATTAACATGTATTGGCGAACAATCATCTTCAAATTCACAGTACTTTGGACTAAAAATATGTAAGTGCCAACTTAAGAAGGCTCAAATTTGCCCAGGTAAGGCAAGGCCCAACGTGCCGAATAATAAATGGGGCAGATCAGGGAATTCTGATTAAATTGGCTTCAGATCAGGCACATATTAAAAATTAGATTGATCTCAAGCTTAGCTTGGCCCAACCCAGAATTTCCCAGCCGAAACATATATATTCCCTTTATAATATATCTATTCTATTAGTTTAAGAAAAAGCCTTCAATAATTTTTTCTAGCAGTTCTAAAGTTGATTAAGAATTTCTTTCTAAAAGGAAGTTTCCTTCTTTCTTTATACTTGAAGAATTATCAAACCAATACCAATTGTATGATATTAATTATTAGTTTCCAGACACTACACCATTTTGTATAGTTTTTCCTAGGCAAGACAGATGGTTTTTAGGCTTATGCCAGTGATCAAGACTACATTTAAAGGGGATTCTTAGATCTTTATGGTTTCATGTATGATGCATATCCATTTTTATACATCTCTTAATGGGGATTGGGAGCATAGATGTCCATGAGTCAGGCAGATTTTGTAGGCATGACTTCAAGTTTATGACTAGCACATAAAAGCATGACATGAGATATGGTTAAAATACCAGGGTTAGGTGGAAATCAAGGCAAAGTTGTAAAAGCGAGATAATAACATTATAGAAATTGCCATAGACTCCTCAATGTCAGGGCCTTGTCCGAGGTCAGGTCAGTCTCAGACCAGAGGTCTAGTAGAAGTCCAAAGACTTATTGAAGTCTAGAGGTTTAGGGGAAGTCCAGAAGTCATGTGTGTGACAAAGGGTCTTTAGAGTATGACTTTTGGAGCATTTTGAGGGCTCTTCTCCCCTTTTAGTGTATATGGTAGATGTTTATGGATGACCAAAAGCAGTTAGTTTTTCATAATCTAGAAACAGGCACTGACATTCTAAGGAAAAGCGAGAATAAATATAAATTATGCATTTTGAATCCACTGTTTTAATTTCAATGAGAATAAATAAGCCTTAAAATGTGAACTTATATGAAATATCGAAACAATTAACACATAAATGATATCAACTCTTCACCTGCTCGTTTGTGCTCCGTGGTAGTATGATGAAGAAGTGATGTGAAGAAAAGAGTTCTTGCCATATATTCTGAAATGTGTTCCGCAAGCAATGGGTACTCAATTCCAGCAATCAACCCTTTCCTCAAGATTATATGTGGAGGCTCCAAGTAATGCATACCAATCACACACATAGCCCGGTCAAAATGATAAACTTCTGGAACATGATCAGGGCATAAATGACCATGCTGTTTTAGTGCTGTGGCCTCAAAGTAAGCACGTTCTTTCGTCATCGGCCATGATTCCCCTATGCAGCGTATGTATGGAAGAGCCTACACAGTTCAGCAACAGAGTTGACAATGAAAAAACAATTTACTCTGTTCGAACACTTGATAGATAATATCATGCATAATATAAACTGATCACAATCTGTAAAAATCACCAACTTAGATACTATTTCATCCTTTCAAAACCTATGTCTTCTAAAATTTAGCGAGTTTAAAATATATCACGATTAAGAACATGTGAATGTAATACATCCATTCTTCTCATCTAGGTCAGATTACAAATAGAAATCATCCTTGCACTTTAGACCCTTTTAGGGTTCAGTCCATGGTTTAAAATATCAGCATTCTCTCACAACCCTTTGCTTGATAACTGGAAATAATAGCCAGATAAATCAGGTATTCTGACAAGTATGCAGTATTCATGTTCATAATATAACGCATACCACCTAAATAAATAAAATTTAAAATTCCTAAAATAGAATTAAAGAAAAACAAACTGGCCTACACTGGGTATAACTATAAACCCGTCAAAAAATATAAGAAGCAAACATAGATCTTTATACAAGCAATCCACATTCCGCGACCAATTCAAAGGTAGAGCTCAACAATTTTTATACAGCAAATCAAATCTCCTTTACTACATAATCTGGAAAAAACTGCAAATCAGTTGAAATAAAAAAGAAATGGGTACCTGTTTGATAACGAAAGAACCAGATTTCCCAACAACAATGTAGACGAAGTTGAGATTGCCATCACCGACCTCTTTGATTTGCAAATCATCCAAGTGATTGCCGAGCTTGGAAGCTAAAGAGGGCGTGGCCTTTATGTACTCTATTAGGGACTTCTCGTCCAGTGGCCGGAAACCGTCGTCGGTCGATGCCATTAGCGGTGGAGATTGGTGGCGCTGGTTGTATTGGACGGCGATTGGTGGCAGGGTTTATATTAGAGTTTTTGGTCGCCGCGGCCGCCATGAGAAATGTGGGAAGGAATTCGTCTGAAAGCGAAAGGAGGCGGCTTTTGAATGACTCGCCAAATTTGTGGGACTTGAGGAGTTAGAATAGTAATTTGATACTCTCTGTTTAATAATAAAAACTCATGTATTATTATTGTTGGATTGATTTTGATGGAACTTGCAAAAACAAAAAAGTTTGTTGAAAATAAGGATGTTGAATGCCTAGTAAGGGATACATAAGCACATGGAAAATGATTTTTCCATGTAAATGGTGGGAAGAATTCTATGTGGTTCTCATCATCATGAATTCAAAGGTTGTAGAGTCTTTGGTTAGGTTTTTCGTTCCACCACTTTGGTGGGAATTGCAAGTCCTAAGTGCTTTCGTCAATTCTAAAATTGGAAAAATCGAACTTTTTCTTAACTTTTTGGTTCCAAAATTAAGGAATTATTAATTTAAGGTTCTTAATCTAGGTTGTTGGAGAGAACTTTTTGTACTCTCAGAAATTGAATGTTACTCTCTCGGTCTCTTTATAAAGTGCAATTCCACATTTCACAGTTTTTAAAGTAACAATTCTTATCATACTTTATTAGATTAGCAAAAAATGCATTTTCAAATTTGCCCTTCCCTAAAAATTTGTTTTTTCATTTACCGAGTTTCTAAAAATTTAGCTGAACAAAAAGTCAGTATATTTAATGAGGTCCACTTATTTTGAAAGTAGTATAGCAAAGTTTTTAATAGGGTCTATTTGAAATTTTAATTAGTTTAATCTTTTAAGGATAAATTGGGAATGTGATAAAAAGTAGTGTATTGATTTTTGAAATGTGATAATTAAAATAGGACAGTAAAAAATAAGATAATGGACTATTAATTGGGGATGGTAATATTAGCATTTTTTTTAACGAAACCTTTCATTTAGTATTTTATATTCTAAATAATTTTATTCTTATTTTTGCATTCATTCAATGGTATATTATATAATATTAGGAGTTGCGGTCAAGCTGCGGATTTAGGTTGGACTTATGAATTTTTGTTTTTCGGGATTTAGTCAAGTGAACTTCAATATTTAAATTCGGGATTTTATTCAAGTCAACTTCAATATTTTGTGTAATTTGATTCAAATTGACTATTCAGCTTTAATTGTTCTGCTGATCTATTATATTATTGCATGCTATTAATACAAAATCACAGTTGGCTTATAGACTTATAAAAAGATATTAGGTATATTATTTATTTATATTTAGAACAAAGATTGTAGCTGTATTTATATTATTGCATCTCTTAATGTTCAAGTCTTATAGAAACCTGATTAAAAGAAAAAAATTATATAATAGTAAGTATACTTAGTAATTTAAGTATATAATACAAGTATATATATAATAAATACCAAGTATAAATAAAAACATAGTAAGATAGAAAAAGAATAGAAGATAAGCAGGACAACGGGTGGGCCAGCCCTTAGACTCTATGGAAAGCCTAACCCACTCACTTAAAGTGCTGGGCTGGGCCAAACCCCAATGGACTAGGCCTGGGTGTCAGCATCGGGCTTTTTGAATGTGCTTATTTAATTAAAGAAATCAGAAAAAGAAAAATGAAAATAGTTTGTCGGGGTTGTTTCATCCTGGAGGAGGCTGACATTTCTCTGAATATATAGTTTATTTACACATCCATGGTCATGCCCTATCTCATGCCTTTTTAGATATTTGGGCTGCAAAGTCCAATAATAGGGCAGGTTGAGTATCGGGAGTACCGACTATATATAGTATTCGAATTAAATCTCTTTACAATTAAAAAATAATTAGTTACTATCAGTTAGTGTACTATAATCATTGATGATTGGTTTGGCTATTGTATAAACTCATCACTCTAATTCTAATCTTCGTTGCGTCATATTACGCTTAAATTTGTGAACTCAAATTGTGTAAAGGTTTGAGAGATCGAGTCTGTCTTCCTAAAAATTAGGAAGACAGAAGTTTCTATGAGAAAAAATATAAAAACTCGACTAATAAAAAAAAAAAAAAAAAAAAAAAAAAGAAAAAAAAAAAAGAAGGGTGTTCTACAATGTTACTGTTTGTGATATTTATATAAATAAGCTTGTTGCTTGTAGTTTACCTTTCACAGGCTCTGAGTTGAGATGTTATATAGTCAACTCCAAAAATAAAGGTTTTATATATAGTATTGTGCTTGACTTTAAAAAAAGGGTTTCCACTATACTCATGTACAATGAAGTGCGCTGCCTGGCCTAGACTCCATGCAAGTCTTGTTCTTTTTATGCATAACCTTTCTTTTATATATATATATATATATATATGTTTCTGAGCAATATCATTTTATGCATAATACAGTATGTGTAAGAATGGTAACTCAGTTGGCCATGAATTTGCAGTTCTAGGCCATATGGCAGAGAAACGTCTTATGCTTTTAGAGACTGTTCCTTCTTTTGTTTCCAATGCAGCTGCTATAGATTTTAAAGTTCCTTGTTGATTTAATCTCCATTTGTCAAAAAAAAGAAAAGAAATATCCTTTGGCTTATAAAGTCAAACATCAGTGCGAAGAGTTTATATGAGTAGTATTGTTTTTCCCTTGACAAACTAGGAGAAGTGGAGTCAAACACGGATACACCAAAGTTGAACCCTCCACCAATTAACTAGGCTACCCTTAGAGCAGCTGCAACGGGCTCTTCATAGTCCAATTTCCGCGAGAGAGAGAGAGAGAGGCTTTGGGCGTGCAGCTAGCTCTTCAAAATTGGTAGGGCCCATTTTTGCTCGCGGTATTCAGCGAGCAAGCCCACGATCACTGGCATTTTTTTTTTTGTTTTTTTTGTTTTTTGCTTCAAAATGGCGCCGTTTGGGCTACCCCTCTTTTGTCTTATTCTGCAGCTCCTGTAACAGTGCGCCAAATAGTACTTGGCAGATTTTTTTTTTTTTTTAAATAAAAAATAAAATAAAATTTATTAAATAAAAAATATATTGTTGAGGCACTGTTTGTCAAAAATAAATTTTATTTGGGCCAAAAATAAATTAAAAAAGCCTTTTTTTTTTTTTTTTTTTTGCCACTATTAAAAATATAGTTGTTTAGGAAAAGTTTTTTTAAAAAAAAAAAATTAATTTTAATTTATTATTATTATTTTTTTTGAAGAGCGAAAATTCGGAGAGCCTGATGGAGTACATGTTTTTGGAAAGCATAAATTGCTGACGTGACTCTTAAAATTGCTAACGTAGCTTTTGAAAAAATTGATATGGTATTTTTAAAGAATTAAAATTCGAACAGATTGGTGGAGATGGCCTTGCAGTGCGTTAAGTTCAATAATGTGGTTGGATTATTGATTACCATATGGACTACTAATTCAGCTGGTGGATCTATCAGTTACCAGCAAACTCTTCTTTTGTCTTTCATTCAAAGGTCGCATGCAGATTTGACAACCAAGTACCAACCAACAGTTTCCAAACTCCCTAATCCTATATTTTCCACTGTTTTCAAACATTTCTTTCACTTCCCCACCCCAACCTTCCTTTCCTCCCCAGCTCCACTTAGCTAATGGTAGTTTCGAATAAAAAACTGTGAAGCAAAGGCTATCTACGTACCCTCGACAAAACCTTTATATATACATTGCATGGTGTATAATATAAAAAGAATAAAAAAAAAAAAAAAATTCATGTAACCAATTTTATTCATATTTGATAAAGGTAAGGATGATATATATGTGACGATGTCTTGGCCAAACAAAACAGCCACGCGGGTGGGCGGTGTCAAAGAGTACGTTTATCTTGAAAAATGGCTTGCAACTTGACTTTTCAACTACTTATATTTATATTTCTTTGTATTTTATGCGTAATAAGTTGTGCTTCTTTTAAAATTGTCAATTTTGTGTTAAAGTTGGGAGTTGCAACATCTTTAAGTTGCATCTTCTTGTTCTATATTTTTCTTCTTCCCTACTATCCACCCGCGTCACTTTCTCGAGCAGATCGAGTCCATGAATCATCTATTTCTTCACTGTCCTTTTACCCAATATATCTTATCCTACTTTCAACAATTCATTGGCTACCACATAATAATATGTATGTCTAATTCTTGGAATATTTATTTGATAGACTGATGTGCTAACTCTCACTGGCCATCTCCAAGGATTGCCAATTTCATTGGTTCGACCATCAATCTAATTCATTTGGACGGAAAGGAACTCGAGAGCATTCAAAGGCCCCATAGTTAGCGCGCGCTAGCTGAAGAAGATTAGACACAACATTAGGTTAAACTCTTTGAATTACGTTTAAATATTTGCTATATGACTTTGAATTACTTACTATTTTTTTTTTTTTTTTCAAAATAAAACTCTTTTTTAGTGTTTTGAATGCTATTTTGTAGATTTAGGTCTTGAAAAATATTTTTCAGCTATATGACTTTGAATTACTTCTACCAATTGGGTCAGAAAATATGTGAAAAACAATATTTTTTTAAATATATATATTTTTTGGTTTAGTTATTGTAAAACAGAAAGGCAAATTTAGAGAATTTTATGTAAATAGGGTTAGATATTATCAGCCCCTACTCAAATAAATCAACCAGAATTGTCTAATTCTGAGACTTAGAATGATTTTTCTTCTAGCATATAACACAGTTTCACTTGCAATAATTCTCAAAACATAATCAGGTTAAGTCAGGAAAAGAGATTTTGACCCGTTCAAGAATTAAATACAAAATATCATGTCTAAAACCTTATAAATGCCACTCCACTAATCCGTTTAAATATTTGCCTGCTATTTGGTCCGATAAATAAAAATTTACTATTTTATCGAGTCTATGTGGCTACTCATGTGTCAAATATAATGGGACTTATTTTAAAATATAAAGTAATTAACTATTTAAAAAATTGTAATTCATTTTCTAAGTTTATCTTAATCTAGTATCTCTATTGGCGATTGAAGTTTCAACTATATGTAAATTTGTTTTATATTTCAAATTACGTCTCTGTAAGGACTATTGAAATATTTCAGATTGTGTCTTTGATCATTAATATCTATCTATTACTTCAATAGGCATTTATTAATTGCTATAATGATCAAAGCTAATGATCGATCTATCTGACTCCCAAAAACAATAATAAGAAGAGAAATTTTTAAAAATAAAATTATAAAGCAGAAAAATTATAAAAAACATTGTAGTGTTTGCTCTAGATTTTGTACAAATCAAATTATTAAATTTGAGTACCATGAAACTTGCTGTGAAAAG